TTTTTAAAGGAGAAGCTAAAAGTTCTAAGCAAATTAAAATTTAAAGCTTATATACAATTACTTGCTAATTTAAACTATTAATTTGCAAAAACTCCTTTCCCTGCTTTGCTCAGGACAGCAAATCACTGTATTCACTGGACTCAAGTAGAATGCGCTTTACTTCTAAAGGTACTTTTTTAACTGTTACATAAAATACTCAGTATTTGGATGGATGGTTAAAACAAACAATATAGTCTTTATGTTCAACTTTTAAAAAGGGGCAAGATGTTAAGAGGTTTCAATAAGTAATGCACGATCTCTAAATTCATGTCGAGACTAATTTAAACTATGCCGATTAATTAGTAGGAGAAACAGGCTTTCTACATGTTAAGTTGCTGAGTATTTTTAAAAACACCTGGCACATATATCTCCGGTAAAACTGTATAATTTACTTTTACTGTAAGATATCTGGGCAAGTAGTTACAGTGACTAAACAAACTAGTGCAGACAATTGCATTCCTTATTAAATAAATTAGAATCCCAACAAGCCCGAGCAATCCAACTCTGCAATAACATAGGAGACCATTAAAGATTAAAAGAAAGAAGAAAAGGAAGAAAAGAAGAACAAGAAAGCCCTTCAGCAAATACTTTAACAAATAAATCACTCATGCAAAGCCAAACAAGTTATGAAAGGGCCTGCTTTGACAGATGTTCTCTGGAAAAGCAAAGGCTTCGGGCAAAACGAATAGTTTTATTTTATTTTTTTAAAGCTACGAAATACTAGTAATGTTGCTTCTGAATTTTTCAAATATTTTAATTTTTAAAAATTGCTTTTTACAACCATTGTTCAGGGACTTTACCTGTCGCCACTTCGAGACATTCACCAAGGGCACTTATGTTCATTTAGATTTGTCACAAGTATATAATTAATCACATAAGCAACTCTGCTTCCTAATTTAGGGAATAAAACTTCCTAAAAAGTTTTATAAAGCATCAAGAGTCACTTCGTCTTCTTAAGCTGTAAAAAATCATCCATATTGCAGCGGGGCCTGTATACAATTCACGCTTTAGAAGTTCACATTCCCACAAGAGCCAAAGCGAAATTTAAAAGAGTTCTTATATCCTCTGTATGAATAAGATTCGATGACTTGACATTTGTAAAACTCAGAACGCAGTTATTTTGGATAAGACTGGTTTACAGAAAATCAAATTCCAGGAAATGATCATGCAAAGTGTACTTACCAGTTACTTATGCTTTCCCTTCACCTAACGCTTGAATTCTAGGCTTCCAGAAACTTTTCTATCTTTCCAATTAAAAACGCTGCAGCCTGCTACACTCCATAAAATGGCCGCGTTGTTTAACCAAGAAAAACATGTTAGAGATTGAGCTGTCACTTTTAGAAGAAAAAAAGAAAATAAACAACTGCTTCTTTTGTGGTGAAGCATAAAACACTCAGGCTGGCATTTTGAATCATGGAGCTCCCCTGGACGTTGCTATTGCTCTTCAAGTAGTTGTAGTGAAATTTCTGCCACATTCTTGCTTTCTGCATGGTGTCTCAGCAGTAACAGATCAGCACAGGCTAGCAAACAACTCCTTCCTAAATGTAAGCTCTAATTTCTTCTTCTGCAGTGAAATGAACCAAGTTTCTATGCAAAAGAATGAGTGACAGTATTCCCAGCCAATCAGCTTGGGTTTTTTCAGGAAAATCACCCCTTAATTCATTCAAAATTAGGTCATATGACACTGTTTGAAATACTATTGGCTTACAATGAAAGTAATGTTTGACTCTACAACACAGGATGAGGCCACCCATCTATGCTTCCCTGGGCTGAAGACAACTTGACTATAACCGGTACTGTGAATTAAACAAACACACACACACACACACACACACACACACACACACACAGGGGGGAAAAAAGAATGTAGCCTTACCAGAGCTTCCCAACAATTAAAGGGCCGGAGTTCTGTTATCTTCTGAGCCTTTTTCTGAGAACACTGGGGAATCAAAGTAAGTTCACCAATCGAAGCATCTTGAAGGAAGTGAAGAATTTTACCTTTATAGCCATCCTCCATCACTTCTTCACCACTACTATAGTCCTCATCTAGTGAGCTACCGGCGTCAGAACCCGAATCATACTCAGAGTCTTCAATGACTCTCTTTGGATTAAATACATTTTTTTTACGTTTCTTGTTAAAACCATTTTGTGGTTTCATGGAAAATTTCTGTTTTAGTTTTGTTTTAGCTGCATTTTTAGGATCATTTTGACTCCTTGAAGAAACTTCTTTTCCATTTGGAACTTCACTTTGGGACGCCACAAATTGCATATCTGTGTACAAAGAAAGACAAAAACAGTAGCTACATTAAAAATATATAAATTGAATATAAAGATGTAAGACTTCAAATAAGAAAAAAATGCTTAAACATGTATTATTCCTTTTGAATACAGAAGAATTCAACCATAATTTATTGTTAAATCTTGATAACACTTAGAATTTGAAGTTATACAAGCTAAAATAATTAATTTCAAAAGCAAGTGATAGCCTGTTTTTTAAAATAAATTAAATTTAAATTTCCATTTTCTATTAAAGGTCTTGAGAACATACACGGCACCTGCATATCCATAAGATGTCCCAGATGCTACTTAGCAGCCCCACCTGCTATGCCCACACTGATGGGTAGAGCCAAACAATGCTCACTTCCTATGAAACTTACTAATAAAAATGTCTATGTTTCAACTATCCATATTATATTTTGCATCACTATCTCCATTATTCTAAGTTCATCATTACTTAAAAAATTATTCAAATATAATATCATGAAAAAGCACCCCTACTTTATCACTGACTACTCTATCGTATTTCATGGAATCCTAAGATGTTTGTGAATGAAGGTACACTGTTATTTTATGTACCAGTAAGAAAACATGTACCAATTAATCTATAATACAACATTTTATTTAGAATATTTACTTTTTTACTTAAAGAGCTTTCAGACTTACAGATTATCAGACATTCATTCTTATGCATATACAAAAAAAGCAAAATAAATTGGATAAGGTGTTCTTCAAATTTTTTCACATTCATAATCTGGCTCTTCTAACCTCATTTTTTTGACTCTGAATTGGTGGCTTCCTTCGTTCCACAAAATATTATTCTCTGTGCCATCAAAAGTATTGGTAGTATAGCGTTTCTTAAAAGAATTCATTAAGAATGCATTTTAAAAAAAACCTCAAAACACCCTAAAGCCACTGTGCTGGGCTTTTATAGCTGGCTTTGCAATTATGAATAGAGCTAGTTTACTGGATTCTTGCTTAGGTATGTTACCAGACATGCAATTCAACTCTTCCTCACCACCTCTCCTCTACCACTTGGTTCCTAGAATTAAGAGTGTTCCCTAATGGGTTCTGAGAGTTCCTTCCATGCCTATGATACTCTTAAGTCTTTGATGCTAGTGCTTTTGATATTCATATCAGTGTAGGCAAGACATATACAGTACAGAGATTCTAAGATACCACCAATCACAAGATCCATTCTGAGAGTTGTTAAAATGTAAAAAAGTTTCTTTTACACTCAATAAAAAATGCCAGTTTAAAAGCAGCCTTAACTGGCTGAGTGGGTGGCTCACACCTATAATCCCAGCACTTTGGGAGGCTGAGGCAGAAAGATCGTTTGAAGCCAGGAGTTCGAGACTAGCCTTGGCAACACAGCGAGACCCCGTCTCCAAGAACAAAAAAAAAAAAAAAAAAAAATTAGCTGGGTGTCTTGTACTCCTAGCTACTTGGGAAGCTGAGGCAGGAGGATCGCTTGAGCCCAGTAGTTTGAGGTTACAGTGAGCTACGACTGTACACTGCACTCCAGCCTGTTTGACAGAGGAGATCCTATCTCCAAAAAAGTAGCCTTAATTATCAAGAAGAAAGATTGCCAAATAGAAAAAGATAATTACCATTTTGTTTTGTACTATCATAAAGAACTCAAAACACTTAGAAATTGGTCATTTAAAAATTTTTTTA